TGAATTTTTTTGGTCAACTAATTTCAATTTTTAACCGTTAATTAAATAAAATATATTGTATATTAATTAGATAATATAATATTTTTAAAATATTTGATATAATAAATCTAATAAAATTATTTTTGTATCAATATCTTATACTATTTTCATTTAACTTAAGGTCAAAGTTTACCAATTTTGACCAAAAAAACTAAAGTGAACAAACATTCAAGAACAGACAAAAAGTATGTTTTTTGTTTGTCTTATTTTTTGTTTGTTATTCATCTTTTTTCTAAACTAAAAAAAGAAAGTAATTGAAAACAGATAAAAAAAAGTTAACAAACAAAAAGAATTCAAATAAAACAAACAAAAAAATTAAGACGTACGGCTTGATTTTTTGTTTAATTAAATTGATTAAATATAAAATAACACAAATATTAACAGATAAGATAAAAAGATAAAGGAAAAAAAATAACAAAACAGATAAATAAAGGAAAAAAAGAAAGAAAAACAAAAACAGCAAACCAGAGAAAAAAGTAAAAAATGAGAAAAGGAAGGAAAAGAATGATAAAAAGTGAAAATAGAAGAAAAGAGGGGAAAAAGAAAAGAGAGAAATAAAGCAGAGTAGGTTGAAAAACAATAAAATACTCAGTAGATAATGAGAGTGTAACGAGAAGAAAAAGAAGAAACGAGAGTCAATGTGAAAAAGTAAAAAGTTTAATTTTGCAATTTGATTATATTCAAAGTGACATGCTGATCACCCGATGATGGGCAAACGAATTACTAGTAAAAGGATGATAAAAGTTCAAATACTTTTGTAAAAAAATTCAAAATTCAAATACTAAATCATAAATTTCGTAAAAATTCAGGTAACATTTTTGAAATTTACCCATCAACACAAGAGATTAAGGATTAAGCAGAAGAGATAATTAGGGATAGGTGAAAAAAAGCTTGTCATTGATTCACACAATAGGTGCATTGGGCCTAGAGGTTTGCAGAGGCACAAGGCATTTGTCTGAATGATCTTTTGGTGGTTCTTATAGGGATTTGCCGTCTCCTCTTTGCCATATGTAATGAGATGGATGTGGGAGTTGTTCTTGTGATGTATGAACCTATGAATTTCAACTTTTTTTGTTGAAGAGGAGTTTATGTTTGAATTGCTCAGGACCCATTCAGAATGTGATGACGAGTTTTCAAATTAAGGTTTGTGTTTCTCGTTTATAATGCCGCAGAGCACACCATCTCATTTCGCCGATTGGCTGCATTAAATACTTTAGCCCATCGGCGAAATAGGATGGGAGGTAGGGGGTGTTGTGGTGGTCAGAGATAGAAACAATCAATTTTACCAACGGAGCACCGTACTTCATATCATAGTGGACGTTGGAATCCAATATCAAACGAACCAAATAAGTGACCATTCTAATTTGTAAGGGCATTTACGCGGTTTTCCCTTTGGCACCCAAATGTGCTTTATGTTCTAGTCGAGTAGTATATGATCAAATGGCTATATTAATTGTGTAGGAACTATTCTTTATTTACTCTAAAGGTTGTAATATACTCCCTCCGTTTGGAAAAACACTTCTCATTTGGATTTGGGGCAAAAATAAGGAAGTGTTAAATTATAGTTAATTTTCAATTTTGCCCCTGATGTGATGGGTAAAAGTAAGATGTGATGGATAGATTATTAGAGAAAAAGTATGATATGATAGGTAGGGTATGAAAAAGTAAGGGTAAAAGTGGTTTTTTAATAGAAAAGGAAAGTGTTTTGTTGGAAGTAGAAAAAATGAAAGAGGGAGTGTTTTTGAGAACGGAGGGAGTACTATTCTTTCCGTCCAAAAAAAAAGTAAAAACTTTACATTTTTGCCCTTGATGTGATGGAATAAAGTGAATAATGTAGAGAAAAAGTAGAAATATAATGGTACATTCATTAGAAAAAATTTGCCAAAATAGAAAATGAGAAAGAGATTATTGGACGAATAAGAAATGACGAAAAAATTTTGAACAACCCAAAAAGAAATATAAAAAAGAAATTAATGGAGTGAGAGAGTACCAAAATCCGCCAAGCAAGGTAAAGCATGGAGTATTTTTAATAGATCTCATTTCCAGTAAAGCTACGGCAAGAAAACCAAATCCTTGAATTCTTTTTTCTGCTTAAATTCTTTAATTTGGGCCACTTTCAATGACTTACTTTTTGGGCCTTGATTTCGTAATTGGGTTTTATCTCGAATTACTTCGTTCGAATTAATACATCTTGGTGCCGGAAACCAACATCGACTTCGTGTGAACTAGAGCTGGCTTCGTGGATTGGGCTAAATGGTCTGGGTTTAAAATTGGGCTATCACCATGAAGTTAATGGGCTTCCAATGACACGTGGCTTACAAGCCCTATGATCAGTGTTGTAGCAAGTTGTATGGTGAATGACTCCGGTAAGTTTGAACCACTAGTTTAACTATTCGAACTACTCGTTCGACAAGTATACTTGGGAAGTTTGTGATTGCTATTTGCTTCGTGAAGATGGTGGTTCTTAATCTCGATCTAATGGACTTTTTCGCGTTTTGATTGAAAATCTTTTGTATTTAACTATGTGAGTCAAGCTTCTCCGAATTGAGGCCTAAAATAGTTCTTTTTGAGGGTATCGATAAGACGAGCAACTTTTCCTTTTGTGACTAATTCAAATTTATGACTGTTCAAGCTCTATGAATTAATTAATGAATTTAATCATTAATATACGCATACATACTTTTGTGATCCAAGATACCGTGTCTGATGTTTTATCGATCGCGGATCGCTCATTTGTTCTCCACAATCAGCCGCAGATGATCTTTTAGAAAAACGTATCTTATCCGATAAATTTTATCTTTTCATCGGTTACTATTATGCTCTTTGACATTTTTAGAAATTTTTAAATGGATGTCAAATAAATGAGGCGAGACAAGTGAGCTATATATTACTTTTCCTTTTATATACCTGTTTGAAATTAGAGCATTAACGTCAAAACTTGTTACCATAACACAACATCAACTCAAATATAAATTTCTGCCATCTACATTTACATCCTTCCATTTATATACACAACTCTCCTACAAATACAACAAAACAAAGATGGTTGGAGGTGGCAAAAAGGGCAAAAAATCCCCTGAGATAGCCAAATATTGGAGGCAACAAAATGCAATTGTGAAGAGAGCAAAAGAGATATGCACTCTTTGTGCCTCACAGTTTGCCATCATAATTTTGTCAATCGGGGGCCCGATGTTCACGTTTGGCGATGAAACTCTCATTGATCTTTTTGAAGAACATAACGATGGGGTCGCGCCTCATGGATGCACATTCAATTGTACCATCCACAAAAGCCCTAAAATTTTCAAGCTCCAATCATGGAATAAGAACAACAACACCAAGTCCTCATTGCCACTAGTACAATTACCCTCCACCAATGAAGAAAATGGAGGGCAAAACTTTGATGGGTTTTTGGAGAAACTCAACTTGGCTCAACTCCAACAGTTGGGAGAGAAGATGGATGGGTTTAGAGAGCAATTGGGTGATTTATTAGCTTCTAATCAAAGTAGAGCAAAATGATTCCCAAATTGGCATTTGGATATATATATATATATATATGACTTAATGTTGTGGGTAAGTCTATTTCTAAATATGGTCTTGAGGTTCCTTTAAAAGATCACTCATTATAATTGATCTCAATGAAATTTGAGTTATATCTCCAATTTTTATTATTTCCTATTTTGATGGTCGAAAAGATCACTCTTAATTTTGTATTTTAATATAATGTTAGAATCTTCATTGATTCAAGTGATGAGAGTGAGAGATCAATCTCATTAATATTTAAGTGTGTGCTTAGCATGCATTTAGCATTTTAAATAAATGATTTGATAATTGTAATTGCCCTTAATATTTCATATACTCCATCCGTTTCAATAAACTCTTTCCCTTTGACTTTTAGCCAAAATAAGGAAAATATATTTATGATTGACTTTTCAATATGCTCTGATGTGATAGTTTGATTATTAGTAAAAAAAGTATGATATGATAAATAAAGTATGAAATAGAAGGAATAAAAGTAATGAAAAAGAGTTTATTGAAACGAATAGAATTTTGTCTCAAAACATTGGTTCAAGCTTAGATTGTTAATTATAATCATTACACTAAAAGATGCAAATCCTTGTCTCATGCACATGGGCCCGGCCCATGCCCATGCCCATGGAAATGTTGACTTTATCCTTGATGGTTTTTATACACGTAGAATATACGGAGTAGTATGTTGGACGAAGTCGGGAACCAGCTGTATTAGTACTATTATACTCCGTATTTACTATTCCGTGCCAATGTGTTTTTTATTAGTTTTATTTTTTTTGAGTTAAATTGGACGAATTATGTGTTTAATTAAACAAAAATTAAATGTACATTAATATAAAAATGATTTCATGATATTTATCTTGTTGAAAATTTTTAAAATTTGATTTCATTCTAGTAAAATGCAATATAAATTGAAAATAATTGACAACAAAAGTTTGTCGAATTCGACTTTAAAAAGTCAAATTAAGCGAATACGCTCAGACAGATTGAGTATCCCTTTATCCCAAATTATTCCATTGACTTTCTCGAACTAAAATAAATTAACTTTAAAATTATTATTATATTAATATTTCATTTCATTCATAATCAAACTTAATTCAATCTCACACGTAAATGAGACCAAATGAATACTCTCTCGGTACCTATAAGATTACCATAGTTTGACTTTTTTTATCAAATTGTGACATACTTTGATCACGAATTAAACATAGAGTATAATTTAAAATAATTAAATATTATAAACATTTGATACTTCAAAACTATATTTTAAGACAGACATAATTTTACTAAATTTACATCATAACTAAATACGTAGTATACTTTTTCCATAATTCAGAATAGTGTCAATCAAAAAGTCAAATTATATTTTGTGAGAGTGAGTAGTATTTTTATACTCGTATTTTTATATAGTACGTGTATTTGTGATCTGGTAAAGTGAAGAACGAGTAGTAGTACTAAACGGAGTAGTTGTTAACGCGGCGTCGCCGTCAACAACGACCACCACAGGTCAGCCCTTCTCCGCCGCGCCATCCGCTCTATCCTATACTATAAATTCACCGTCAAGTCCTCCTTTCTCAACCATCACAAGTAACCCCTTTTCATCATTATCACAATCGCCGTTAATTACATGGCGTATTATCACGATAATGTATACATAATTGCAGCGGCATTCAAATTATGCATGCTTCTGCTCCTCTCATCCCCACGGCAATGCCAAGGCCAGCAGCTGTCTCCGGCATTCTACGACGCGACGTGCCCGAACGCGCCCGCCATCGTCCGCACGGCCGTGAGGCAGGCGGTGTCGCGGGAGCGCCGCATGGCGGCCTCCCTCATCCGCCTCCACTTCCACGACTGCTTCGTCCGCGGCTGCGACGCGTCGGTCCTCCTCGACGAGTCGCCGGCCGTGGAGAGCGAGAAGACCGCGCTCCCCAACCTCGGGTCGGCGCGGGGCTACGACGTGATCGAGGCCGCGAAGCGGGAGCTCGAGCGGGCGTGCCCCGGGGTCGTGTCGTGCGCGGACGCCCTCGCGCTCGCGGCCCGCGACGCGTCTGCCGCGGTGGGCGGCCCGTCGTGGGACGTGAAGCTCGGGAGGAGGGACTCCGCGTCCGCCAACAGAACGGAGGCGGAGGCCCAGCTTCCAAGCCCGTTCGACAACCTCGCGAAGCTCGTGTCGAGCTTCGCGAGCAAGGGGCTCAGCACCAGAGACCTGGTGGCCTTGTCTGGGGCACACTCTCTGGGCCAGGCTCAATGTTTCCTCTTCCGGGATAGAATATACCAGAACAGCACGACGAACATCGATGCCGGGTTCGCGAGCACCCGGAGACGGCAATGCCCCAAGGACACTGGGAACGGGAATCTGGCGCCGCTTGATCTGGTGACGCCAAATTCCCTCGACAACAACTACTACAAGAACCTCTTGAGCAAGAAAGGTCTGCTGGAATCAGATCAAGCCCTAGCCGAAGGCGGGGCCACGGCGGGCATTGTGTCGGAATACGCCAAGAGTCCCCGCGCTTTCCAAGCCGATTTCGCGTCCGCCATGATCAAGATGTCTGAGATTCAGCCTCTTACTGGTCAGAATGGGATCATTAGGAAGGTCTGCGGCTCCTTGAATTGATCAGATGAACTATATGCTTCTTTTCAACTTTCAACTTTGTTGTATTATATATAATCATTCTTTTTACTTGGCTTCTTGATTATATTCATTGGTTCATACACTCAATTTGTAGAAACAAAAAAAAAGTGTGCAGTAATAATATTTTGTTGTGTACAAAAAAGAAAGTGTGCAGTAATTGTGATTCAATGTAATGTTTACAAATCTTATGGAACTATACTTACATTTGTGATTCAATGTAATTTTAAGTAAAAAATGGTTACACAATTCGTAAAATCTGATTGCAAAACGTCAAAACTGGACGCATTTAGACACGATTTGCTAAGCATTGAGAGGTTTGGTTCTTACCGTGTCGCGGCTAAAGTTATCTTGCAACCATTTCACCCGAGTCACCAGCCCGGAATCTCGGAAAGTGTTTAGAGCTGACACGTAAAGCCTCTCGTCCAACTCAATCTCGTCCCCCTTCATCTCCTGCAACAACTTGACCAACTCTTCGAGTGCGTTTGTCTTGGAGAAAACGCCGACCATTATCCCACCCAATGCCCGATCAATCTTGCCGTTGTCGCGGTGGTTTCCAGCCTTAGTCTTGAAGTTGTGATAGTACTCGACACATTTATCGTATTCCTTCGCCTTGCTATAGGCGCTTATGACGCTGGTGTAGCTAACTCGGTCGGGCGAAACTCCCCTCCTCTTCATCTCTTTCCATATCTTCTCCATCTGCCTCAGGTCCAAAGCTTTTCCATGGATGTCCAAGAGAGAGTTGTAAACCCAGACGTTGGGTTCGCAACCTCTCTTCTTCATCCTGGCTAAGACCTTCATCGCGTCGCGGTGTCTACCGGTTTTTCCATACATGTTGATCATCGTAGCGTACGCCACGACGCAGTTGTTGAACCCCTTTTGCTCCATTTCCGCAAATGTGGTTTCCGCCTCGGAATGTGCTCCAATTCGGTTGTATATGTTTAGCATCGACGCATAGGTCACCTGGCCCGGCTTGCAGCCGAGCGACTGAAGCTCTTCGTAGACCTTCGCTGCTTCACGCGGCCCACGTTGTCTTGAGAAAGCGTTGACGATTGTGCATGATATGCAGTCGGAGACGCGGGCTTTTACGCGTCTCATCAATGACACGACGCCAAAGGAGTTGTCCAGCATTCCCTCGGCGACGTACATCTGGACGAGTCTCATGTAGAGAGACTCGTCCGGCCTGAGGAGTCTCTTGCTCTCCGCCTCTTCCACAAGCTCCTCGGCCATCTTCACCTCTCCAGCTGCAGCAAATGCCCTTATCAAGGAGGAGTAAAACATGGGGTCCTCAGGGATCCCCTTCCTTGTCGATTCCCTGAAGTAGTTCAGGGAATCGAAAGGTCGTCCCATTTTACCCAGAGAATCGCATAAAAGCAGATAAATCTTTGCATCACATTGCGAGGGCCCGTCCTCTCGTTCTTCGAATTCTTCAAAGATCGAAACGACCTTCTCGTGCTGGCCCATTTTCAGGTACGCCTCCATGACCGCGCAGTAACACCCGGGCTCAAGAACAACAAGACCATCACTTTTCATCCTTTGGAACAAATCAACAGTTGTAGTATACATGTGCAGCTTATTATAGCCTTTCATGGCAAATTCAAAGGCTCGAGAAGCAGTTTCTTGATCAAAAATCACAGTTTCAAGCAAACAATTCACAATTTTGAACTTCCTAGCTTTAACACAGCTACTAATCATTGAACAGAATGTGGGACTATCAGGCAACACATTGAATGCCCTGAAATCTCCAGCCAGTGAAGAAATCGAGCTCCAATTTTTCAGTCCAATAAAGTACCTGGCTAGCAGAGTGAGGGTGGATTCTTGAGGTATAAACCCTGGGTTCTTCTTGGCTTTCTCATAGCACTCAAATCCACTTTCTGCAGTCTGGGGATTCTTCATCAATCTGCAGATCATGGAGTTCTGATCTGATACTGTGGGCTGGGAATTGGTGTTGTTATTTGAGCTTGAGCAAGAGGTGGTTGTGGTTGCAATGAGGTTGAGATCTCTGGGGGAGCTGAGGAGGGGAAGAAAGGGGTTTATTTTTCGGCTGATTCTTCTGTTCTTTGTGGTTTTGCCGGCGGCGACCCATGCCGGCGTCCAGTCCGGTGAACCGGAAAGTGCCATGAAAGGAAATGTTATAGCTTTGAGTTTCAAGAAACTTTGAGAGGGATTTCCATATGAAAATTGAAAAAAAAAAACAGAATTTTGAGAGTGATGTGTAGTGCAATCTTATCTGATTTGGATTGTGTGGCATTGCCTATCTCACAAAGTTTTGGCTTTGTGGGCCTTTGAAAAATATCATCCACTCATTGGCCATTGCTAGTCTTAGCCCACAATCTCAGTATGAGATTGAGAAATTTGATTAAAGTGAGGCAGTGAACAATTGGGTTATCCTTCACTTTTCTTACTTGGTTTTTTAAAATAAAATTTTCATTCCTTTCAACTTCTCCACTTTCGAATATGGATAAGGTCTACGTACACATATCATCTCGAGATTCTATTTTGTGAGATTCAATCTAAACCAAACAATTCAATTTGGAATATGTAAAATAATTCTTGTACCGGCTTAATAAGGAATATGTAAAATAATTATTTGTATCGTCTAAATAAACTCCAGGCTTCGATTTACCATACAACAACTCAGTAGAATCCCATGGAAGTAGGGCTTGGAGAAGTATGTGTGCGGCAGACCTTATCCCTACTCGGGTGTGTGTACACGCAGGCTTCAGTTTAAAATGTTTGATGAAATTTATTTTAAATTTAATTTATTTGTACAAAAATAAACATTATACATACTCAATCATAAAAAAAAAACAACATCAAAATTTTTAAAAAATTATGAGTGTTTGGCGGTGGTGCATCTAAGAGTTCTCTTTCTGCTTTGGGTGGGCTGAGGTACGGCTCTGTTTGGCATGTCTAACTCTGCTTTTTGCAACCACCATTTTACATATAGAATATTGTCTTAGAAAAGTAAACTTATCTCAAAATGAATTTATTGGTTTTCTTTTTGAACCTTATCTTTAAAAAAATGCAATATCATACTCCCTATAACATAAAATGACTTCTTGGTTTTCTTTTTGAATCTTTAGCTAAAAATGAACTTATCATTTCAAAGCATTCGGATTCACATAACTTGGCATCAAACCAAACATTCAAAAATATTATTGAATGTGACAAAACTCAAAGTACACTATGATGAAGTGACAACCACTCAAACAAATGTTCAATTTGTGCTTATAAGAGTACCCCTATTGACTTGCAGCTAAAAAAATTATCAAAACTTGATCTTCAAGCACATGTCTGGTTATCAACTACAAATACAAGATTTATTCTTCTTACCATGAAACCATCGTCGTTTATTCGTTTTACTCGTCTGTTCCAATCATCCTCAAGCGCGACAACGGTGTCCTCAAGTACCCTTCCACCTCGAATTTCTTGGGGGAAAGCTCGCGATACTTGTTGAATTGCTCTACGGCCTCCTCATTCCTGCCGAGGAGACTGTAAATCATCCCTTTGCAAAAGTATGGTCTGAAATCTTTGGGGTCTTCTCGCGCGAGTTCTTCGTAGCTCGTCAAAGCCTCTTCGACGTTCTTGTGCAAGAACATCATTTGTGCCATGATGAATCTAACATCCCTAGCTTCCTTGCTCTTGCCTTCCTCCATAGCAACCTTCAATGCTTCTTCCAATCTATGGATCACATTGTCCCTCTCCCCGCATCTATCCATTAGCAACGCGTTCTCAAACAACGCCTCGAACCAGAGGGGGTTTTCGGACAAAATCTCCTCGAAAATGGTTCGGGATTCTTGGACCTTACCCATTTCGTTATACAGTCTGGCCTTCAATAATTTCCACTCGCGGTTCTCGGGCTGGGCCTCGGCCAATTTGTCCAGCAATTTCAGGCCATCTTCGTCCTCGCCGGCCTCGAGTTTCTGCTGTAGAAGCTTGCTCAAGGCTTCAATGGACTCTTCGCTGGACTCCGAGGATTCCGTAGTCAGCGAATCTGCTTTCTCCGCCTCCGATTCCAAAACCGTCGCTTCGGGCTGCCCTTCTGCGACGGTTAGGGTTTGCGCTTCCGCCCTGGCAATCGGCGCCTGCGGGAATTTCCCGAGGGTCACGGCGGCGAAAATCAACGCGACGCCGGCGGATTTGAGGGTGGAGATCGTAGGGATCTGGTTCGACCTGACAGATGCTCTGACGGCGATGCGCCTGTGGCGGACACTCGCCGGAGGTAGGGAGACGCGGCGGAGGGAAATTGCAGGAGCAAGGGGTGTGGATGAAGTGCCCAATATCACGGACGACAAATCCATCGTTTCCTCCGGCGGAGAGAGGTTTGGGTTTTCCGGGATCGAGCGGAAGTTTTTCCGGGGTTTTAAAACGTCGCGGGTAGGTGGGAGAGGTTTGACTAGACTCTTCAGTTCGCCGGTGGTTCTAAGGGGTTTTGTACGGGGACAGCAGTTTCTCAAAAACATTTTTCAAAAAGAATAATTTTTCATGAGAAAGATCTTTTTTTTCTCTCCATTGAGGAAAAATATATTTACTGAAAAATATTTTTTACTTTCACTAATGTCAGCAAACGCAAGAAAATAAAATAATTTTTTAAAAGTCTTCTGTTTTCAAAACTCATTCCTAAAATCGTTCTGAAATTATGAAGTCTCAGAGTAAGGGTGCATACAAATCAAATAAAATATATTCGATTCGTGATTCGTATTCGAAAAAGATGATTCATATTCGCTATATTCGAATCCGAATACAAATTATATTTTAGATTCGAATTATTTTCGAATTCGAATACAAATATTAATAGATTCGATTCGTTTATTATTCAAATTATTCGAATATTATAATTTATAAATAAATTTATATATATTCTAATATATTAAATATTTGTGTACATATAAATTTATATATATTCGAATATTATAATTTATAAATAAATTTATATATATTCTAACATATTTTTACTACATTTTAATTTTTACTACATTTTACATTATTATAAAATAATAATTTAATGTCTTTAAGAAAATTGTTTTAAGAAAAAATTACCAATATTTTCGAATTCGAATATTCGAATACGAATTCAAATATGTCAAATATCTATCGAATCGAATACGAATGTTTTTTAAAATTCGAATTATATAC